CCCCAGGATTCTGTGCCCTTCTAATTCTGGCCTCTTGAGCATCACCAATGTTAATCATTCTGCCATGGTCTCCACTTCCACTTGCTGTCTGAACCCCAAGCTCAGGGATATCCTCCATATGCCTTTCTGCCTGTTTACTTCACTTTCCTCTTTTAAGACACTCCTTAAAGTATATATTTTTAACCCTGTTTTCGGTCATCTGACCTAGAGCCTCATTTAGACCATGTCTAACTTTGCAGCTGTGAAGTGCTTTTGAATGCTTTAAGGCACTATATAAATATGAGTTGTTGCTGTATATATTCAGTTCCTATTTGAAAGTTACTACTAATCTGAAGCCTTGTCAGGCTTCCTGTGTCAGATCATAATAATTCACTGCCTAAAATGTTTAACTTGTCTTCTGGTTCTTTTGTTTATTACTTTAAATCTGTATCCTCTTGCTAGTGGAAACAGTTTCTCTTAGCTACCCTTATCAAAACTCTTCATAATCCTGAACACCTCTATTAAATCTCCTCTTAGCCTTCTCTGCTATAAAAGTGATTACACTTCTAAACTACCTCATTGGCTGTAAAGTGCTTTGGGACATCATTGTTGAGATCATACAAAGTGTTACATAAAGTATTCACTATTTCTTTAAACATTTCCAAGGCACTTCACTGGTGTGTTACCAGGCTGCGTACGAGGCAGAAACATAAAGGAATTTGGGAGGGTCATTTTGGAGCTTGGAACCTATTGAACTGAATGACAGAGGTAAAGGAAGATAGAGGTGGACAAGAGGTTAGAGACGGAGGAACACTGAGATCTCAAGAGAATTGTGCAGCTGGAGCAGTCTTAAGAGATAGGAAGGAGTGAGGACATTGAGGATTTTGAAAACAAAAATGGGAGTTTTAACATTAAGAGCAGGAACCAAAGCAGGACACAGTACTGGGGTGATGAGTGAATGGGACTTCATGCAAATTAAAATATAGAGAGCAGAATTTTGGATGAGTTCAAGTTTACAGAGGGCATGTTAGAATAGTACCACTTTGGAAAGAGATACTAAGTGGGAGCAATGAGAGCATCATCTGTACAAATGTCTGACTGATCTAAGAGTTAGATGTGATGTAGGAGACGAATGCTGGAAGATTAAATGATCCAGAGGCATTCTGGAGTTCCCTGTTCAGTCATGATCCTAGCAAGGACCTTCCTCCCAACAATGGTTTTGAGGATTAGGGAGAGAATATTCCCATCCATACATAAATACAACGGCCAAAAGACAACATATTGTTGTCTGTGTGAACCATATCATAGGTAAGCTATTATATCAGACCAGATTTTCATTAGAAAGTCTCAAGGTGTTAGCATATTTTCTTTGTGAAATGATTGGCTTAGGAAGACGATTATTGATTGAATAGCCAGCATGTACTTTAACAATGGACAGACTTGGGGATTGCAATTCTGAAATATGGCCAGCTAATCTTTCAGTTTAAAGACTGGAAGCTTCCTGTTGCTTTTTGTGCATTGACGTAGCGCTGTAAACATCTGTATGTCAAAATTCCAGCAGCAAGTCACCTGCAATGCACAGACCAGAGAGTGCAACAAAGGGCATACCATCATCTTGATTTTTTTCTTGCCTAACCCACTGTAACCCATTGTCACAGAGCACCTTAATACTACCAGATTTTAAAATATAGACAAACTCATGTAAATACAATGGAAATAACAGCATACAAGTCTCAATTATGATGGATGAGTGATAAGTCACTGTGAGTGTCAACATGGATAGTTCTAAAATCATACAGGCACACCCCCATGAAGGATTTGTATTGTTTATAAATGGTGTCCGTAAGAACATAATAAATGTTCTCCTGTGAAAAGGCGTCAGTTCTGTAAACTAGTGAATATTGTGGGATAAACAGCAGATAAGTTAATATGTGATTTCCATCTCCAGAGTGATTACCATGACCAGATGGCTCCATAACCAAGTCAGCTTTAAGTTTTAATCCTATAAACTTTAAAGTAAATATACTTTATAAATAAATACCTTGCTTTTTCTGATGCAAGTACCATATTCAGTGAATCTTGTATAGTCCATTCAGGCCATCAGGCCTCTGATGGTTCTTTGAAATAACTATTCTGCTTTCTCCCCATTAGCCTGAAAATACTCGGTTCAAAAAGGCAGCTCACCACCACCTTCTCACGAGCAAATGCTGGCTTGGCCAGTGACAGCCACATCCCATGAATAAAAATAATAGAAAGATCTTTTGTGCGACACAATGCAAATCATGAACTTTTCCCCACAACTGTACAGCATTTCAATATGCTCGCAGCATAATGATTGACATTTCCATTCATCAAAGCTTGAATCTGGCAGTCACTGGTATTACCATTCACAAATTCAGCATGAAAATCAATTGAGTAAACTCCACTGAAACTCCACTCCTGTGATTATTTTTGAAGAAGGCAGACATGTTTGCCCTGTACTGCAATGCAAAACAGCATGGGTAATTTCAAATAAAGTAGATGCATTAGTTCTGAGGAAGCGTCACTGGATCCAAAACATTAACTTTGATTTTTTCTTCACAGGTGCTGCCAGACCTGCTGAGCTTTTCCAGTAATTTCTGTTCTTGTTCCTGATTTACAGTATCCGCAGTTCTTTTGGGTTTTTTTTAGATGCATCAGTGTCCACTCTTGAGGTTCGGATGATCTTGAGTCATTGTGATAGGAGCATCCCTTTCACATCAATGCATTATCACAATAAGACATTACTCAACAGCCTTAGGATAAATTTGAAAATTATGAATTAACCCTCATGCAAAGCAAAGAGGATTGAACTTAAAGAGTAAAACTGAGTGGTTGAATTATGTTAACATTCTTATTGTAATTTTAAGGGCCTGAAAAAAGGAGAAACTAATGTTCTGCATACATCATAATAACCTATAAAAGCAAGCTGACATACCTCATATAGTTGTTATATAACATTGAATTTGGTGTCTGCTATCAACATAGGGAGTAGATTATCATAAAACTGTCAGCTTTAAAACAGGCCTTACATTTGGGGCTTCATGTCCAATGTTTTGTTGCGTCTTTATTTTACTTGATTCTAAACAGTGCAAATCAAATGTTCTATTTTAGTCCTATGTCCTCTATTTTTTTAGAAGCTACAGGGTTCGAACCTGGCTTGGTGCTCTCCTGCTGGGCGGAGGTCAGAGCTGAACTTCTGTACACAGGTCACCATCCCAGCTGAGTACTTGGATCCAGTGTGTGTGGATGTTTGAGGCACTTCGGGTGTAACTGGGTTGTAAGGAAACTTTGCTGCCATTCTGAAACCATCCTGAAAAATCAGTGTAAAATTGGAAGCAGTGTACACACTGTGGCCCATCAGACTGTTAATCAGCATCCTAATCTTTTCACTACTCTTGTCCAGATGGAGTGTGGAAACAACAATGTGAGGTATTTCTTATCATCTCGAACTAATCTGATGAATGACTATTAGTAAGCGGTAAAATATAAGGAAAATGTTCTGAATCTTGTGCCTCATTGTTGCAGAGAAGATCTGCTTGCAATTGTAAAGCCTGTCCTTGTTTGTCTTTCTGGGATATTTTGTCCTCTACACTGGCTCAGAATTACCTTGCGCACATTGGCAACCTCAAAAAAAGAAAAATATCTGCACATAATCTAAACATTGGAATGTTGGCTCAAACATTTGATCATTCTTTTATATGAGGATTCAATCCTCTTTAAATAAATAAATCAGAAATGAACTCTTTCTACTTGCAGATAAAGAGGCAACCAGAACATGGGATAGTGTTCTCATGGTATAGATGATCAAGATTTCAGAACATTATATTCATACTCTAGAAAAAAGAAATAAATCCAGATGCAATTAAAACAGAAAATACATATATAAACCATCCTTCATTCGAATTAAAAACAAAATTGTTTTCATCATTAACATACAAGAGTAAACCTATTGTTTTCTGAGGTTCTGTACAATTCCAGATACCTTGTACAAAGACTTTTCGAAAAGGCTCCTTGTGAGGAAGACAAATGTTCTTCTTGTCTAACTGAATTGTGAACCTGATCTCAAAGCTTCAGCTTAGGTAGTGTTTTATGTACCAATCCAGGCACAGCTAGAAATTCCAGGCCAGTTGCATTTAGCTTTGTGTAGTTTCCTGTTGTATTCCAAGTGCAGGGTGATACTCCAATCAAACCACAGTTTAGTTTCCTCTTCCCAAGTCCAGTTTGGTTTCCCAGCCCAGGTAGACATAAACAGACTTCCCGTTCTTCCTAGTATGGAGCAGCAGTTTCAAACAAATTAAAAACACTGATAGGATGGAAGGACTCACAGAAGTCAAAGGAATCAGGAATGTTCCTTATCTCCTAGCCCCTCCTTACTACAGTATTTCAACCAAACTGAGGTTCTAAGCAGTGGGTACCAAACCATGGTCTGCCAATTTGCTCAGAATTTGCCATATAACACTTCGAGGTACACCTGCACTCTGAGTGAAGATGAGATAATTGTTTGTTTTTAAGGGATCCTCCCATATTTTGCCCTGCACAAACCCCCTCCCCCCCCCCACCCCCCACCATGCAAAGCTGAAGACAGATCCTATAAAACCGTTAGATATTGCTACCTTTTGTAAAGGTTCCTCACCAAACTTATTTCCCCTTCGCTTTTCTGTGTGAGGTTTTCAATTGTTTTCACTCAGCTCAGCTAGGCGAAGAAATGAAAATGGTTCAAATTAGCACAGAGTAAGATGAGCCATAGGAATGAGATCAGAGCAGTAACAGTGAGGGAGGCCCGCTCCCCCATTCTGGCCAAGAAATTTGTCTAAATGGAACAACAAATCCATGCAGCAGTTTGGACACTGGTGGGAGTATTGTGTGTGTACGTATACACAGTTATTATATATTTATCCTATATATAGATTTATATAAATAAATAAAAATCATTTATAGCTCAAATTCTCTGCCCATCCAAGAATGACACACATCATGGCTCATTCATCTTCACTTCTTATCACCCCAATATAGCGTCTTCCAGCTTTTCCAATCACTTGTTCATCGTAGCATGGGGAAAATAACTGAGCAGCAAATTCATAAAGATTACTTAAGAAAATAATCCAATGGTGTCTTCTTTTCATTGCTCACAATGTAACATCCGGATCCCAGGAATGAAAAGCAACACTTAACACAATGTAAGCAGGATTGTCCATTCTGCTAATACAAAACCTGTATAGCAAGGGAAACTACGCTCTGTAAGAAAGACCTTTTGAGTGACTGGTGACTTCAATGAGCTTAAGGACGTTGAATTGAATCCAATTCATTTTCTGTAAAGTGTTGACTGAATTGCCCCTTGGTCAATAAGTCTTCAGTTTGAGCACCTTGGAAATGCGTTCCTTTGCACTGGAATAGATGAGGTATGAGCCATCTGCTGTGTGGAACTTTTCCCAGTCTGTGCATCCGTATGTTGGAAGCTGATGGACTGGAACAAAACTTTCATAACCCTGCCACCTACAAGAAAAGAAGGTCCATCAGCAACTGTTAGGTCAAACTTTTATATTTCAGAATGTACTTATGTTCAGTCCCTAACAACAATGATGCACAATTACATAGCAATTTTACCATAATAAAGCATCCTGTGGTGCACCATTATCCAATGAAATTTGACACCAACACGTAAAGAGATATTAGGAGAAGAGGTAATGAGATGGAGTTAAAGCAGCACCTTAAAGGAGGAAACTGAGGTGGTGAGATAGGATTTTTCAGGAGGAAATTTTCCAGAACTCTGGATCAAGACAGTTGACGGAACAGCCACCAATGGTGAAGCGATCCCAACAGTGGATGCTCAAGAGATCAGAATTGCAGCTGGTTCCAGGAATTACAGACAGAGAGAGAGAGAGGAACCAAAGCTGTGGAAGGATTTAAATGCAAGGAAGAAAATTTTAAAATTGAGGTATTGCCAGGCTGGTAGTTAGTGCAGCTCAGTAAGCACGGTGAGAATGAATGAATAGGACTTTGCACAAGTTACATTCAGCCCTGACATTCTCTCCTGTACGAGATAGTACACTCACCTGTATATAACACTGTTTAAAAAAAACTTGGAGCCATCAAAAGAGTTGGCCACAACCAGAAAACTGTCATCACCCACAGTGAAGAACTCCCAGTCAACTGCACTGTAAAGGAAAGGAGATTAGAGCCTATGAGACCATAGCACAATCTGTATTCTCTATTGGAAGTTGTCATATTCTATAAGGTCCTAGTTCCTTCCACAAAAGCTTGTATTCATAAAGAGGGCTAAGGGATAATTGAGGTGTTTGAGATATTCCAAGAGGAACAACCCATCCAAGTGCCCCTCCTAGCCATATGCCATCCTGACTTCGATCAAGATCACTATTCCTTCACTCTTGCTGGGTCAATATCCTGGAACTCCCTCCCTGACTGCACTGTGAGTGTCCTGCACCTGCAGCAGTTCAAGAAGGCAACTCACCACCACCTTCTTAAGGGCAATTAAGAATGGGCAATAAATGCTGCACTTACCAACACTGCTCATTCTCTGTGACAGAATTAAAAACGGTGAAAGGATTTGAATGAGTAAGTAGAGAAAAATTATTTTACCTGAGCGTAGAAGGTTGAGAGATGACCTTTTAGAGGTTTATAAAGTCATGAGGAGTATAGGTAAGGTGAATGGCAGGTGGTTTTTCCCTAGGGTTTCAAGGCTAGGGGGCATATTTTTAAGGTGAGAGGAGAAAGATGTAAAAAACAAATGAGGGACAATTTTCTTTACATAGAGAGTGGTTTGCATTTGGAATGAACTTCCAGAGGAGGTGGTGGATGCAGGCACAGTTACAATGTTTAAAAGACATTCAGATAAGTACATGAATAAATGCGGGCAGTTTAGTTTGGGATAATGGTTGGCATTTACTTGTTGGATCAAAGGGTCTGTTTCCATGCTGTATGACTCCATGACTCTTTGGTGGTGGGGTCCAAAAACAAAGGGGGTAGAACCTTAAAGTTAGGACTAGGCCATTCAGGGTGATGTCAGGAAGCACTCCTGCATGTAAAGGAGAGTGAAAATTTGAAACATTTTCCCACAAAAAGCTGCTAAGTGGACATAAACAGCCTATTTCTGTACCTATATGCTTTCTTTGGAACTGACGTACCAAGGGGACAAGTGTTTACGGTGTATAAAATTGTAAGGGGTCTAGATAGAATAGGAAAGCCCTATTCCTCTCAGTTAAGGCATCCATTGTAGGGTGTGTGGGGAAGCGGTGCTTGGATTCAGGGTAAGAGTTTAAAGGGATTCTCCAGAAAATATTTTCACCCAGAAGATGGTGAAATTCCGGAACTCACTGTTGGAAAACATGGTCGAGGCTGTAATCCTCGAAAAATTTCGGAAGCTCTGGATATTCACTTGAAGTGCTGTAACCCACAATGCTATGGACCAACTGCTGGCAAGTTGGTTTGAACCTGGATAGTACTTTTTTTGAATATTACAGCTTAGAGCTAGGCCCAGCGGGGTCCCTCTAAGCCTTAAAGTTTGAATAATGCACAAATAGATTCAAGAACAGCTTCTTCTCTGCTGTTATCAGACTTGAATGGACCTCTCAAATGTTAATTCTGATCTCACTCTCTCTCTTTCTCGCTCTGTGCACCTTCTCTGTGGCTGTAACACTGTATTCCATACTCTGTTCTGCTACCCTGAGACACCTGATATGGTACAATCTGCCTGTATAGCACAACAAACACTTCTCACTGAATCTCGGTGCATGTGACAATAATAAATCAATTAATTAAATTTCTTCAATTCCATCAAGATTCTACAGAGAGTGATAAATTCAAGATGATGTGGAGATTGCTAGTGTTGGACTGGGGTGGACAAGGTCAAAAATCACACAACAGGTTTATTTGAAAATACAAGGTTTGGGAGCTCAGCTCCTTCCTCAGGCATAGTGCGAGAGAGGGTATAAGACACAGAATTTATAAGCAGAAAGGTAACAACCAGGTGTTTTCAAATAGACTCAAGATGGAAAAAGAACAGAGGAGGCACAGCCACTAGGTGGTGTTGTTGATAGGCAAACTCCACATAGATTCCAGTGAAGCTGCACAGGAACAGCGCCTGAACTTTCAATTAGACACTTTACAGCCTTCCAGATTCAGCACAGAATGGAGCCCAAATTCAGACCATCATCTTTGCTCCCCTTCTAATTTTCTTTCCTTTCCCTTTGCTTGTTTTGGTTTCACTTTCAGTCAGCAGCAGGAACTGGGCATACCTTTCATTCCTTGAAAAACTCAGCAGGTCTGATAGGCATCTGCGAGACAAAGCACAGTTAATGATTTGGGTCCAGAACTTCTGAAGAAGGGTCATTGGACCCGAAACTTTAACTCTGTCCTCCACAGATGCTGCCAGACCTGCTGAGTTTCTCCAGCAATTTCTGCTTTTGTTTCTGATTTCCAGCATCCGCAGTTCTTTAGGTTTTTTTCTTTCATTTATTTGTTAATATTCTTGCCTTGTCACCATTCCGTTTGACCCTGGAGGATCAACTCTGTCATTCTATTTCTTCTGTATTCCACTCTTTCACTGACATTCTGTTTGCTCTTGTCTCTCACCTCGTCCTGAATCAAAACCTAGTACATAAAGTCATAGAGTCATATAGAATGGAAACAGACCAACCAATCTAGCCAGTCCATGCCAAACATAATCCCAAATTAAGCTAGTCCCACCTGCCTGCTCCTGGCCCATGTCCCTCCAGACCTTTCCTATTCATGTACTTATCTAAATGTATCTTAAACATTGTAACTGTGCCCACATCCACCACTTCCTCAGGAGGTTCATTCCACACATGAATCCCCTATGTGTAAAAAAATTGCCCTTCATGTCTTTTTTAAATCTCTCTCCTCTCACCTTAAAAATATGCCCCCTCATCTTGAAATCCGCATCTGAGGGAAAAGACACCTACAATTAACCATATCTATACCCCTCATGATTTTATAAACTTCTATAAGGTCACCTCTCAACCTCGCACACTCCAGTGAATAAAGTTCCAGCCTATCCAGCCTTTCTTTATAACTCAAACCTTCCATACCTGGCAATATCCTGGTAAATCTCCTCTGAACTCTCTCCAGCTTAATAATATCCTTCCTGTAACAGGGTGACCAGAACTGAACACAGTACTTCTAGGTCTAGTACTTCTCGGTCTAGGCCCGAAACGTCAGCCTTCCTGCTCCTCTGATGCTGCTTGGCCTGCTGTGTTCATCCAGCTCTACACCTTGTTATCTCAGATTCTCCAGCATCTGCAGTTCCTACTATCCATGGTCAAGTCTCCCTTGTTTTATTTACTAAGATCGGTCACCCTGGATATTGGTATAACATGACCACATGTGTATACAGTTGATGGTATTGTTTGCACATAGATTTCTCATAATTGCCTTTGAGATTTGCTTGAATACTCATATAAATCAGTGGACTTTTTAATTAAAAAAACACAAAACTGTTGCTGGTAGTAACCTAAAGTAGACTGAAACATATTTGGTACTGGTGGGTCTAAATGATTTATTTAACGTGCATTGTTACTTTTATATTAAACGGTGTGTTAATGTAGCACCATTAAAATTCTTTGTTCTTAACAAGTCAAACCTTGTTTTATTTGGTATTTAATTGCAAGTCTCACATCTCTACATGTTGTCATTAGGGTGTACACCAGCATTTTGCCCCTGGGCAACGGGAGGCCTTGCCATGCCTGAGACACACTAACAGCACTCCCAGAGATTCAGGCACAGAAGATCGATGGGTCAGTACTTCCCAAATGTGCTGCATTTGCCCCGGCAAGAAAACAAAGCAGCTGCCTCTTTATAGGCAGCTGTGATATGAGCAGCAACGGGCCTCCCAGAACAGATGGTTAAAGCATACCTACCAAAGGGGGTGGGGAGTAAAGGACCTGTGGTCATTTAAAGGGGCCTTGCAGTTTGCAGAAAAACCCAGCGAGAGCTCCATTGCTGTTTGGAAGCTCCTGACCTTGTGCCACGACCCCTCCACTGGGTGTCAAAACGCCCCAGTTTGGGAACCCCTGATCTAGACTGACACTAACCAGTGTAGTGCTGAGGACACAACAGACTGTCTGAGATAGTAGGAACTGCAGATGCTGGAGAATCTGAGATAACAAGGTGTAGAACTGGATGAACACAGCAGGCCAAGCAGCATCAGAGGAGCAGGAAGGCTGATGTTTCGGGCCTAGACCATTCTTCAGAAATGGGGGAGGGGAAGGGGGATCTGAAATAAATAGGGAGAGAGGGGGAGGCGGATGGAAGATGGATAGAGGAGAAGATAAGTGGAGAGGAGACAAACAGGTCAAAGAGGCGGGGATGGAGCCAATAAAGGTGAGTGTAGGTGGGGAGTTAGGGAGGGGATAGGTCAGTCCAGGGAGGACGGACAGGTGAAGGGGTCAGGATGAGGTTAGTACATAGGAGATGGGGGTGGGGCTTGAGTTGGGAGGAAGGGATAGGTGGGAGGAAGGTCAGGTTAGGGAGGCGGGGACGAGCTGGGCTGGTTTTGGGATGCGGTAGGGGGAGAGGAGATTTTGAAACTTGTGAAGTCCATATTGATACCATTGGGCTGCAGGGTTACCAAGCGGAATATCCTACCTACTAACCTCATCCCGCCCCCTTGACCTGTCCGTCCTCCCTGGACTGACCTATCTCCTCCCTACCTCCCCACCTACACTCACCTTTACTGGCTCTATCCCCGCCTCTTTGACCTGTCTGTTTCCTCTCCACCTATCTTCTCCTCTATCCATCTTCTATCTGCCTCCCCCCTCTCCCTATTTATTTCAGAACCCCCTTCCCCTACCCCATTTCTGAAGAAGGGTCTAGGCCCGAAACGTCAGCCTTCCTGCTCCTCTGATGCTGCTTGGCCTGCTGTGTTCATCCAGCTCTACACCTTGTTATCTCAGACTGCCAGAGATGCCACCTTTCGGAGGCACATTCAGATGAAATGTTAAACCGAGCCCAATCTCAGCTGGACATAAGAGATCGCCATAACATTTCTCCAAAAAGAGCAGGGTGGAATCTTGGTGGTCCCTTCATTGATATATGTGGGAATTTCCTGGCTGGTGTACAGCCTGCATTACAACAGTGAGTACACTTCGAAAGCACTTTATGGGCTGGAAGGCGCTTTGGGGTATCCCAGTCAAGAAAGGTGCTGCATAAACGTAAGACTTAGTTTCTTTCCACACCACTTTTCCAAGACAGCTGGTCCTTGGCTCCTCTGCACACCTGCTCCAAATCAAAGTTAACCTACCTCACAGAGCAAAAAGCAACTTGTTGAAATACTTCAATGACACGTCTTGCACTCAGTGAAATGCAGGTTTAGGGAAGTGCTGGAACCAGAGGATCAAAAGCAGGCCATCCAGCCCGATGAGATTGTTCCACAATTCAATTTGATCATCACTGATCAGTACCTGAATTCTACCTTCTGTCTTGGTGACCAGAGCCAACAAAAATCAATCAACCTCCGTTTTGAAGTTTCTCGTTGATTCCTGGCTTCAACAGCTTTTTGGGGATAGACATCCAGGATTCCACACCTTTATTGTGTGAGAAGAGTTGAATGATGTCTCATGTTGCTGTGTTCCTACAGGGTCTTTCCTGATATTGTCCTTAAGCGTCCTGACTCTAATTTTAAGGGTGTGCTTCCTTGTTCTGGACTCCCCTACCGGAAGAAATAGTTTCTCTTGGCCTACCCATCATATCTTTTAATCAACTTCAATTAAATTACACATTGAATGAACACAAGTCCAGTCTGTGAAACCCGTCCCTGTAGTTTAACACTATTAGTCACCATTGGGTTTGGTGTGGTACTGCAACCCATTCATATCTTTCCTAATGGAATGGCCATGGCCAGAACTGACTGTAGTTAGACGTGATTCCACAATTGAATAGCACTTGCTGTATAATCTTGAGTGTGCTATTAGCTACACTAATGACTAATTTAAGATGATCAGTTAAGCTTCTAGGAGTGGCATACATTCATATTCAGGGACCCATTGCCTTCAAACAAGAGGAACATGTTCAAGACTTGCGACCTTTCTGACTTACTGAAGAACATAAGAACACATAAGAACTAGGAGCAGGAGTAGGCAACTCGGCCCCTCGAGCCCTGTCCACCATTTGATATGATCATGGCCGATCTCATCTTGGCCTCAACTCCACTTTCTTTCCCACTCTTCATAACCCTACAACCAATTAAACCTCTGTCTATTTCCTCCTTAAATTTACTCAATGTCCCTGCATCCACTGCACACTGGGATAGTGAATTCCACAGATTTACAACTCTTTGAGGAAAGTAATTTCTCCTTAGTTCTGTTTTAAACTTGCTACCCCTCATCCTATGTCTATGATGTCTCATTCAAGATTGCCTCAGATTAGGAAACATCTTTTCTATGTCTACTTTCTTAATCCCCTTTAGCATTTTATATACCTGAATTAGACCTCCCCTCATTCTTCTAAACTCCAGCAAGTATAAGCTTAAACTACTCAAATCTTTCTTCATAAGACTTTGTTGCTGGAATCAATCAAGAGAAACGCCTCTGAACTGCCTCCAACACAATGCTCCTCCCTTGAGTAAGGTGACCAAAACTGTAAGCAATACTCCAGGTGTGGTCTCACTAATGCCTTGTATAGTTGCAGCAACACTTTCCAACTTCTATATCCTATTCCCTTAGCAATAAATGACAAAATTCCATTTGCATTCCCGATCACCTGCTGTACCTGCTAGTTTTCTGTAATTCATGTACAAGACACCCAGATCCCTCTGCAGCAATGCACTCTGAAGTTTCTCTCCATTTAGATAAGAAGTTGCTTTTCTGTCCCTCTGAACCAAAATGGATAACTTCACACTTATCCACAACAAACTTTCTCTGCCAAATTTTTGGCCATTCACTAAACCCATCCATAGTCATTTGTAAATGTCTTATTTCTTCATTGAAATATGACACTCCTAGAAGCTTAACTGATTATCTTAAATTAGTCATTAGTGTAGCTATTAGCACACTCAAGATTATACAGTGAGTGCTATTCAATTGCGGAATCAAGTCTAACTACAGTCAGTTCTGGCCATAGCCATCACATTAGGAAAGATATGAAGTGGTTGCAATACTGTACTTTCCTACACATTTTAGAGTTATCTGTACATTTGGCGATAATAATTTCTACCCTTGCATCCAAGTCATTAATACAGATTGTAAATAGTTGGGCCCTGAGGACTCAACCCTGTGGCACCCAACTAGTTACATCTTGCAAACCAGAAAAAGAACCATTTATTCTGATTCTCTGCTTTCAGTGTTGGTTAGCCAATCCTCTATCCAAGCAAATAAATTATCCTTAACCCCAGGTGATCTTACCTCCTGGGGGTTTGGAGTGTTAAAAATACCCTGCTTTCTCCATGACAATGACTTGGCCAATCAGAGTCAAGGTAAATCAATGGTTAAATGTTGGTAATTACTTGGTTAACTGGTTAACCAATCAGTAACCTTTTTAGTGTGCAGTATAAATTGTTGTGATCTTTAAAAATTTGGCATTCTTGCGTTTGTCCAGATGGTTGCAAGACAAAAGTCGTCAGCAACAGGTCTCTCCCTTCAGCAATGGATCAACAACTAGAGTGAGGTTTGGCCAGGACCATTTCAATTATGCAATAATTTGCACCACTTCATATTCCAGGGATTGAATATCAAGCTCCCATCACTGAGGACCTGTTAACTGCCATTCTGTATGCCAAACTTCCTTGTTGTGCCAGACAGTTGAATGTTGAATAAAGGATCAGAATGAACAAAAGGAAGGTTTTATATTAGTGGGAGCCCCCCTCAACCATAGAGGCCCGTTAAATAGCTACCTGTTTGTTGGAATGTCTTGAAACTTGACGAACATTTGGGCTGTGATGTTGAGTTCGTAGATGGTAGAATTAATATTGAAGGCATTGACTCTATTCACTGCCCCTGTCTCATAGCTTTGGCTATTTGCAACTGCCAGAAAAATTCTTTCTTGAACACGGAAAACCTCCCAGTCAGTAGCACCATATGTCTGGAAAAGGAAGATAGAATTATTGTTCTTCCGATTATGAACAATCCTGATGACATACAAGCAAAAAATAAAGAAAGTATCATTGACAGTGTAATCAGCAGTACGCACTCAGCCATAACCTGCTCACTGATGTTTAGTTTGGGTACCTCCAGGGCCATTCAGCTCATGACCCCATTACAACCTTTGTCTAAACATGGACTTAAAAAAGAGCAGAAAGGACCGTCTTTGACATCAAGACAGGAGTCAATAAGAATCAAGAGGTTGGGGGAGTTCTCCATTGGTTAGAGTCATACTTTGCACAAAAGGAAGATGGTTGTGGTTGTTGGAGATCAACCATCCCAGTGCAAGGGCATCTCTGCAGGAGTTCCTCAGAGAAATGTCTTACACTCAACCTTCCTCAGCTGCTTCACCAATGACATTCCCTCC